TTTTACGTGGGATGACCCTATAGGACACATTCTTGGGTGCATGAGGATGATCTTAGTGCTATGTACCGAAGAATATTCCGTTCTCAAAATTGAACCCGAGACATCTGGTTATTAAGGATGGAAGAACTTATATCGTTGCACCACACTGCTCCATTCTCAAAATTGAACCCGAAACACCTGGTTATTAAGGATGGAAGAACTTATATCGTTGCACTATATTCTTAAATTGTCAAAGCATATACGTAGTGCATTCAAATAGTTACGATAGATTATTGTTTAATAATGCAATATTTTTATCAAAAATACAAGTCTAGTTAGAAAATCTACGTATGTTTTAATAAGGCAAATCTCCAGCAATCACGATTCGAAATTTGTTTTCCCAATATTTGTGTTTGTGGGATGTGGAAAGAGAAGAGGAGACACAATCTGAGCATAGTAACTTTCAGAGTTACTAGATAAGCACATTGTGGGTCTACTTGCCACCCTTTTTTGTTCCATTCTATAGTTTGAAAATTACCCTTTGTAACTTTTCCTTTTTATGTAATTAAAAAGCTTTGAGAATTCCATTTTTCTAAAAATGTCATTTCAAATTTTACCTGTCTGAAGTATTTTATGGAAATCTATGTTATACAGGGCGGAGTGTATTTGGTAACGTTCGAATGATGAAGGTAGCAAAAATGTAGATACGTGTTTAGATGAATGTGTGGACATAAGAGACAAGATTAGAAACGAAAATAAAATAAAATATATATATATATATACAAGGTAAGGAGGAATAGTAGTCTCATTGGAAGAAAAGATATGAGAAGCGACAAAGAAATATAAACGTGGTCGAGAATTAAACTACATAAATTTTAATCAACATTTTAAAATGTATTTTTTCATTGTATTTGATATGAGAAAAATTATATCTTATTAAAAAAATTGTATAATTTTCGAATATCTTGGTCAAAATATAATTAAAATGAACGCAGTCAAAAAGCAAAGTTATTGTGGGAGACAATATTTTTTAAACAAGATTGATTAATTGGTCAGCAAGTTAATTAATCAAACCCCACTTAAAGAAATCAGAGTACACAATTATGTCTAATGTGTGCTAATAAGAGATAATTGGGAATTGGGAATTGATTTTCCTAAAGTCTACATAATAAATACTCTATTTGCAGATTCATTTTACTTGTCATATTATTTTTTTCATACCCCTTAAAAAGTACTCTTTTATTTCAAAATAGTCGTCACGTTTCACTTTACGAGAATTAGTTTCATTCATTTTCAAATCTAAATCTAGATTAGCATTTTCAAGATGATGGAATGCTTTTCCTCTCAATTTTTAACTTTAACAAAATTAAGAGTACAAAAGAAAATGAACAAAAGAGAAAAAGGAAGTATCAAAAAAGCTATTTTTGTTGTGACTTTTTTTTTTCTTTTTGGATTTTTTTGCATGGGTAAGCAAGCAAGTGGAAAGAAAAAGCCATTTGAAGACTTTGTCGTAAAAAGATTCTTTTTTTCAAAAAAAAGAACAGAAAAGAAAAGAAGAAAGCTCAAAAAGAAAGAAAAATTGAAGAATATTTTAATATTTTCAACCATTAATGATTACATTAAGATATATTATATATTAAGAATGAAAATGGTACCGTAAATATTAAATTACTATGCAAAAATCAAATGTTTTGATATTGATATTTTGATATTATAATTATAATATTTGATATGACATTTGGCAGGAAATTTTTTAATTAAAAAATTGCATTTGATAAGATATTCGATATTTAGAAAAACAATATTGTACCGAAGTATATAATTATATATACAATTTATATATATTATTATACTTCTAGCAAATTTATATTTTAATATTAGTACAAACTAATTGTTTAAACGTCGAAACTTTGACCATCTTTTTTTTTATATATCAAAATGTCCTTTTTATTGTGTAATATAGATTAATGAAGGGAATTATTCATACTTTTTGTTGAATGTCTACACACTTTTAATGTGCTAATATAATATAATTAAAATATTTCTTGGAAAGTTTAAGTCATAGTTCTCTATTTTATGATTGTTGTAAGTCTAACAAATTATAATTATCGATTTACTGAATTACAAAATATCAAAATTGAATTTACAATATATACTAAATCATACTGAATTAATTCGGTACGATAATAATAAGTATTACTAAACAAAATTAATATCACAGCATATCCACTCCTACTATTCACTCCATATATACCCCTTTAAAGTATAATCTTTCCCCCAATTTAAAATCAACACAAAATATTTTATACATCGAACTATCCCTTAAAAAATACACATGAAAATGGATAAGTCAGAGTAGTTGAGTTAAATTACAAAGTGCCAACAATGAACATATCAAACTTAACATATTAACAAACCAATTGAAGTCTTAACTACTTTCACAATCTAACATCCACTTCTTGTATCAAGTACCAAACTAACAATATTTTCCGCTTATCTACCAAACACAAGAATATAAAAAAAAAAAAAAAAATCAAAAAATAGTTATCAAAAAAACCTTTTTATATATATATATAAAAAATATTTCCTTTCATACCGAACACATCCTATAAAACAAAATTTAGAGATCTTTACCCAAATAGCCGATTTAATCCTCTAATAAATTTTCCTAATCATCATACATAGATTATACATCTATCGACTTATTTTTACTTTAAGCAAATTGAGTGACCGACTATTTAAGTTCCATTTTCACTAGATTCCTCCTTCCTCTTTCAATATTTCCAAATCTAAACAAAAATTTGAAAACCAATCATATCAAATTTTTGTTCAGACATATATAATAAGTACAAAAAAAAGACATGATGCCTTTTTTTTTTTTTTTTTTGAGAATCTTTTCAAATACATGCTCACTAACCAAAGCAACCCCACAACAATACAATTTTTCACAACCATTTTCACAAGCAGCTAAAAATATGGCAGGTCAATTTGTTCATCTCAAACAGTGAAAAGACAGCAACAACTTGTGGTTGATGAACAGACTTATATGTCTCACATGTTTATAGGAACATGACAAAATCCAACCATACATTCATCAATCAAAAATAATAGTGAAGGAAGGGAAAAAAACACTTTTTGAGGGTCAATTTATTCAGAATATGTCTAAAACCAAGTTTTCCATCAGTACAATTTATCAACAAAACAAAGATTAGCAGGCCACCTACTTACCCCCTTTTGTACCACCACCACCACTACTACTACTACTACTAAGACTAGTACTTAGTCTACTACTACAACAACCCTTTGGTTCTATTTCCCTTTTTTTCATGATCTGTTAGAGTCAATGGTATCTGTTGTTTTAATGTCACAAGCAACTGTAATGTTACAGATCATATTAGTCTACCTTCTAAAAGACTTTACAAGTCAGAGAGTGAGGGGGAAATAGAGGTTTCCCCACCCACAACACCATTTGTAAAACTAAAACTTACATGCTATTTGTTTCCTATCTTTATCTAAAGCCTAAAGATGAAACGAGGCCGATGGAACGTTGTAATTTGGAACCCCCCTCTTCTATGTCCATGTCTAATGATTTACTTTCACCCATTCGTAACGTCCGGGAAGAGGCTTGTCGTTCACTGGATCAAAGTTGTACCTGCAAATGGTTACACAAAACAAGGTCATGATTAGAGATATGAGAGTGGGGGATAGAAACATGTATACTATATGTGACATGTCAATCCATACTTCTCAATGAATTTTCTCTGCTGCTCCTTTTCTGCACGGGTAAAAAACTCGTCCATTTCAAGATCTGTTGGGATAGTTGGTTGAATAGAGTTTGGTACTCTGCCATTGGCCTCATTTGCATTAGTACGCCTAGTACTGGAACCAGGGGTCTGAATGTTGTCTGAATCCCTTATCAAACTGCAAGGTGTGCTCTCCCTGGTGGTCCTGTAAGAAGGAGCAAGGACAAACTCTATAGTGCTATTCGAACGTTTTAAGTTTCAAGATCTTAATCAATAGTAAGGTAAATTCAGAATCACCTAGGCTATACATACACAGCTCATGGCAGCAAAAAGATTCAGAGATAACTGAATAAAGGCAAATCATTTAGTGGCTGTCAAAAAGCTTTCTTGCCCTTATTGTCTTATCCATCTATAACTTCAATCATAGAGGGACCCCACGTTCATTTTTAAAGGAAAATGGCTCACAACAATCATTGCAACGTTGCAAATTTAAGGCAGAAAGGTACCAATATGCATGCATCAAGTAGTTCCAGACAAAACAACTTTTTTCACCATGAAAGTCTCAACGATCATAAATGTACTATGGAACGGCAAATCTAGAGGGTCTATCGAAAACAATCTCTCTATCCCTCAGAAAAGGTGTATGGTCTGCATTCACCCTCCCCATTGAGTATGTTGTTGGAAAGGCAAATCTAAAGAGGTAGTAGAGCCATCTGTCTTTTTTATTGTTCTTTTGTTAAGTTAGGCAGAATCATCAAAGTTCATCCAATTAGCTTTACTTCATCACCAAATCAAACACAAAACAAATGTTACAGCAATACAACAAAATTAGGATGTGGTGTTAGGTGAGTATGGTGCCAAAGTGTGGAAGCTAAAAAAGGCATTGAGAACTCAAAAGTGTGCTAACTATTGAAACCGACCAACTAAACAATAGAGTTTCAATCTATTACTACAAGAAATACTTCATACAACTATCTTACTACTACCACATGGAGAGTAAACCATAACAACATCCAACAAAATACCAAAGGCATATCTAAGACAAGTACGACGATTTCAATTCTTCAAACAACATTATGAGTAAACAAGGTACTAAATTCAATGGGAACCATATGAGGACATCAATGAACCAATCTCAAGAAACCAGCCATAAAGTTCTTATTCCACCATCTAACGGCGATTCAGTAACCAAATGCAGCACCATAAAGCACCCCTCTTAAAAGGGATAACCAAGTGCAGACTTTGCTTATTAAAGCTTTTCTTTTTTTGATTGATTGAGTTGGGGGGACCTTAATAAGGGATAAACCTATACTTTCTCAATAAAAATGACTATTCAATATCATGAATATACTTTTCATATATATGCACCAAATTTCCATACTCCCAAAAAAAGGAACTTTAAACAGAAGGAATGAGGAATAAAAAGCCGTGTGGAAAGTGACCTCTACAAGAAAAGCAGGCACCAAATACAAGAATGAAAGAACCAAACCTTAAACTTGAACTAATATCAAGAACACAAATTTCCAATTGTCTGCATTTTCTTCTTTCAATCAAAATCAACGCAAAAAAAGGATAACAGAAACAAAGAAAAATCGACACACAAATAATGAATCAACAAACACCACCTTTATCCTAAAGAACCAAACCTTAAACTTGAACTAATATCAAGACCACAAATTTCCATTTGTCTGCATTTTCTACTTGCAAGAAAAAAGACTTGAAAACCAGCCAGATAAATTTTTTCCATTCTAAATAAGAAAGACAGCCTTCTAATCAAGAAAAAAACTGGACTTTTCATAACCCAAACACCAAAAATCATACCAGAAACTTGCATTTCTGAACAATCTATAAACAAGATGTATTAAAAGAGCTAATCTTTCAATCTATTTTCTTCAATTAATAGTAAAAATTAGTCATGACAAGCAAAAACACAGAACTTAAACAGCAAAAGGGGGGTTTTTTTCTAGCAGAATAACTCAAAGCACAAAGCTCTAATCTTCACAGAGTAAGATACATAGACATGCAAACTAACAGAAGATTTTCAGATAAAAGTAAAAAACCAGAAAAAAAACTCACCTTTTTCTACCTTCAAATTCCAGCAAGTTTTCTCCAAATGAATCTTCAGGACCCAAGCAGCTCTTCTCCTTCTCCTTCTGATTTTCCATTTCCTTAACACCATTTCCCTCTTCAGAATTCACACAAACATTAGGGATTTGGTTAGGGTTAGGGTTTACCAAATTGGGATTTTTGGGAACACCATTTTTCTGTCTTCTCCCTTCAAGAACCGTAAAGGGTTTGACCAGCCTTCTACTCCGAAGCTCAAGATACGACCCACCATCACCGCCGTTAAGAGCTAAAGCTTTAGCCCTTGTAAGAACACCAAGAGGAGATACATCCTCTGTTTTTCTTGCCTTCCTTATGTACTTCCCCATTTGTCAGAATCTCACAAACAATCAAATATTTCACTTCTTTTTCTGCTTTCTTATACTTAAGCTACTTCCATGGAGATTCTTGCAGAGAAAAAAATAGAAAAAAAAAACCAAAACAGAAAATTCAAGAGAGAAAGAGAGGGAGAGAGAGGAATCAGTTGTTGGTTAGAGAAAAGGGTATGCAGTTGTTTGTTAGAAATGAGGGAAAAAATTGGGGGAGAGATGAATATATAGTAGTGACCTTTTCAGAACAGGGGAAGAAGGGAAAAAAACAGGGGAGGGTGGGGACTTTTATGTGTACTTTTTTCCCCTTTAATTATCTCATGACATATTGAATTTATCACCTTATTTTTTTTAATTCGCGTCATGTAGGATTTTTGTGTGTCTTGATATTCGTATTAGAGCTTGATTATTTTAAATTTACATAGTGTAAGATCTCATTTGGTACTTCTTCTAAAAAAAATTTGTTTTTCACTTGTGTGCCTAGTATTTGCGTTAGAGTTAGATTATTTTGAATAGACGTTATGCAGGGTCCTCGTATATGTCTGATAATCGTTTTAGAGCTCAACTATTTGAAATTTGCCTTGTGTAGGGTTCCATTCAGGGAGAAACACTTCTTATTAATGATTTTTTTAATACATAGGGTTCGAGCCCGAGATCTCTATTAATGTAGAAGCAGCCACATCCACTCGACAATATCCTTAGAAGATTTTCTTTGTGATTTTATTTATTTTTTATCTGATATTTGAATTTTATATTGACGTTTGATTAAATTTGACAATTTCATATTCAAGATTTAAACATAAAATCTTCTATCAAGAATGAAGAAACTTATAATATTAAATATTTAAATTTTACATTATTAGTATTAACATTTTATATTTTATAATTAAATTTTGTATTTATAATATGATAATTGTTTCTTGTTATTACAAAGAGAAATTCGATTGTATAAATTTCCAATATCAAATTAATGACGATTCTATAGTATTAAAAGGTAAACTTTTTTCATGTCGAATTTATTTCACATTTATTTTCTATTGATCTGTTAGTCGTAATTTTATTAAAACGTTGAAATTGATATAAGTTCGTCAACAGAGACTTTAATATTTAATATTCAATAATTTTGATTTTTTTTGTATCAAAAGTTATTTTTTTCCTCATCATAGTTATTTTCACATTTATTTTCTACCGAATTGATAATTCCAAATTAGATTAGAGTAATGACTTCCGTCAAACGTTGAACTTAATATAAGCGTGTCAATGAAAAATTTAATCTCAACTATTTCGTATTATCTAATATTATTTTTTTATAAGCGTTCAACGAAAACTTTAATCCTAACTGTTTGATATTATCTAACATGAATTTTATATAAGCGCGTCAATAAAAACTTTAATCTTAGATGTTCGATGTTATCTTAACTTTAAACTTTAATCACTTTTCAAGGTATTTCGATACCTTTTTTACGAACGATGATTACTCTAATAAAATTTTATAAGAGTTAGTACACATTTAGCCATGAAATATCATATCTCGAATAACTCGTGAGACGATATGAGTTGTGCCGACATTTAAAGACTAGCAAAACAGTGCAGCATTGGATTCCTTCATTCATTGGCCACGTGGAAATGCATTTTCTATTATTTTTATTTTTAAAACATTTTATATTTCCACACGCAACTATACGGTGTATCCACGCGCCTCTTCCTTACGTAAGAAGCAATAATATGCATTTCACACCCCCAAACCTCTTTATATATTCTTTTCACCCCTCCCCTCTGTTCCTATTTCATTTGGTGTTCGATCTTTGCACTGAAGTTCAAATTTTTATTTGCGCTACATAGGATCTCATTCGAGGGAAAGTGATTCCTAACAGAAAAAATTTCATACCTATCAAAACTCGATCTCAGAACCTCTAATTTAGGAAGAATCAGTCTCATTCACTATGTTATGATATGCTAAAAAGGAAATTAATAACTTAATGTTAAAATCAAACTACCTTTTAATATTGTAGCTAGTTTAATTTGTATGCACTATTCAAATGCTCTTTTTCGTGACGATAATATCAAAATATTGACTTGATGCATTAGGTCAGATCTAGAGAGTATGTTTTCGATAGTTTCTTTTTTCCCTTGAAATAAAGCTCTAATTATCAAAAAAATCAAATTGAAATAGTAGTTAGAACCAATTTTCAATTTTTTGTAAGAAAATTAATTTCAAGTTGGAGGAAAAGATTGACTACAATGTATAATAAAAATAATAATATATATTGTGTATGTTACATGTATATATATGTCATATGTGTACATATAAAATCCTACTGTCTATATATACTCTCCGTTCACTTTTAATTGTCATGTTGCGTTTTTCGAAAGTCAAATTGACTAATTTTCAAAGTGAAATTAGATTACATTAATTCAATATTTTAAACAAAAAATTTAGATATTCAAAAACTATACAAAAAGTATTAAATGCAATTTTTTGCATATCAATATGATGAAAAATACATCATAAAATGTTAGTCAAACTATTTATCGTTTGACTCTAAAAAAGAAAATTATGATAATTAAAAGTGGACGAAGATAGTAAATAATATAAATAAATATTATGACAAGTAGGAAAAAATTTCATATGTGTCACTGTTAAGTCATTAAATAGAAGTGTCCAAACTTTTGAAGAAACAAAGAGTATGAAAGAAGGCTATAAATGGCTGTGAATTTTGATCAACTAAAGCAGAAATGGTCCCTTATTATATATATATATATATATCATGCTTGCTTCACAAGTCATTCTCCATATATATATATGTGATTCTTTTTTTGTTATTCATTAGTTTGTTTCGTTATATATAATGTTCAACTGACTATCCTTAAACAACATTCTTATTTGTTTCACTTCATCAAATGTAGTGGTTGATTCAACCACTTATTTGGTAATGTACTTAAGGGCTGTTTGATTCAAGGAATTAAGTATTATTTCGATACGAATTTTAGATTAAATTTGATTATCTTGTGTTCAATTAGAAATATTAGTTAAAATCAGTAATATTTTATTTCAAAATTTTGGTATAATTTATTTCAAGTAATATAATGTGAATTGATTTTGCTAGAGACTAACTCATCATATGCTAAAACAAATGCAAAACAAAGTAAAGGATATTTGTTAATTTGGAATGTTGGAGTAAAAGGAGATCAGCCGATATAGTTTGTTAATTAAGTTGGACAATTGAAATAATAATGTACGAGACAAAAATCGCGCTTTACAAATAGACGAATTAGATTATGATACATGGTTGAATTAGAATCAAAGAGACGTTAATTCTTTTTATTTCAACAATATAATCATCCTTGAATCTGACGTCAACCTAGCTACTTCCAATCAGGCTTGAGCCCAACGTTAGAGCTCATATACGTACTATAAAATAAGTTTTTCAGAACTAACGTGTAATCATTTCACACCTGAATGTAGAATTGACTTTTTAACCTATAAAAGAGCCCTCACATAAGAAGAGAGGGCATGCACAATACTCTCTAAACAAATATTATTTAGTAACATTTGTTTTTATGGTTTAATGGAAGAAGACTCTAAATCAACCTTCTCTATTCTTGTATTTTTTACCTTTCTTTGAGCAATATTCATATATTCTTATTTTCGATCTTTACTTATTCGTTTAGCCAAAAGAAATTGAATTTGATTGATCCTTAATTCACTTGTCTTTAACCTTGTTTTTTTTTACAAATTCTATTGTTAACTAAAATAACAATTTCTCTAAAAAACAAAAACAAATAACAAACAACAAATTCAGTGTAATCTAATAAATTAGACAATTAAGATTAAAAAAGAATTGCATAAAAATAATCTTCCCAAAAGAATTTTCCCTTCAATAGTTAATTTTAGTTGAAAGTTGGTGAAACAACCAAAATTGTTTCATTTCATGATTTCTAACTTAGATATATGTGTTTCCTTAACAAATCAACAAGCAGAATGTTTGGCTATCAACTTCATATTGGTATTCTTGATTGATTTTAGGTAACTTAGCTTCTACTACCTCCGTTTCAATTTACGTGGTTTTAACTTGATACTGAATTTTAAAAAGTGATTTTTTTATAGCTTGTGATATAAACTTTAAATATATAAATGTATCAAAGTATTTTTTTTATTTTTGTCATCTTAAACATATTATGTGAAGAATTGAAAGTAAAAAACTGTAAAAAATGAAAGATATACTCTTTTTGAAACAAACTAAAAGGAAAAATAAGACAAATAAAT